TTTTTTTTTTACCTGGATTACTGAGATGCATCAGGACAACCCATCTAACCTCTCTACTCTCTATAAACTTACTTTTTGTCTCTCAGACATCAAAACCTTGATGTCTGGTAACTATATTTTACTTAACGATGATAAAACAGAGGTGATAGTGTTTGGGCCAAAGACCAAAAGGGATTTTGTAACTCAGTCTCTTTCTAATATTGGTTTTAACTGCACTCATGGAGCCAGAAATCTGGGGGTGACCTTTGATTCTGATCTTAGTTTTTGTAAACATTTTAAGAACATCACTAAAGCAGCCTTTTTTCAAATTAGGAACATTGCTAAAATCAGAGATTTTATTTCATTCACTGATGCAGAAACTCTAATCCATGGTTTTGTGTCTTACCATCTTGATTATTGTAACTCTTTGTTTTCTGGTCTGTCTCAAAGTTCCCTCAATCGTCTTCAACTGACACAAAACACTGCAGCTGGAGTTCTCACACGATCCCATAAATATCACAACGTCACTCTGGTTCTGTCCTCTTTGCATCAGACTCCCTGTGGTTTTTAGGGTTGATTTTAAAATGTTGTTTGTTTCTAAATCATTGAGTGGCCTTGTGCCATCTTATCTTTCTGAGCTTCTTACCCCAAATATACCATCTCGTAATCTCAGAGCCTTTAATCAATTACTCCTGTAGTGGCCTGAAATTAAGATCAATGTCAATGTCAAATTTATTTGTATAGCACATTAACAACAAAAGCTGACCAAAGTGCTTCACAGTTCAGTCAAGACGTCAAAAAACAAACAAATAATAGATGCAAATACAGAAACACAATATATGAGAAAAGCACTAACTGAACCTCCAAATCTTAAACATAAGCCAAAGAAAATAAATGGGTCTTCAGCAAAGATTTAAAAAACTCAACAGTCTCTGTTTGAAATGTTGTAACTGTGACTTGGATCTGTTGCATAAAAGCTCTCGTCTTTGTCTCTAAAACATCAAAAGAAGCAGAAGACAGATACAAGAAATATAAAATACATTGGTATGGATTTTAAGAAAGTCCTGATGCATCTCAGTAATCCAGGTAAAAATCAAAAAGAAAAAAAATTGTATAGGTCTTCTGGATGGTTCTTCTCTAATGAAACGTTTCGTCTCTCCTCCAAGAGACTTCTTCAGTCTGAGTTTCAGGCAAAATTCGAGGCTTTTAAGCACTAAGTAAAAAATGGCAGGTTGGCGTTCCTGGATTGCGATGTCTTGGTTTCAGATGGAGGACGGTTGGAAATG